CCACTCGCTACAATACTTAATTAAAGTTCTTTTATTTTCTGTACCCTCACTGCTGGCAACTTCTTTCCGATGTGCCAAAATACATCCCAATGGGCTGGCCCTGGAAACCTCTTTACTCCGACTAGTTCCCATTATCTTCTTCTTTGTGTCTTATCTTGCTTCCTCCCGAACCTCTCTTCACAGGCTCCCACAGTCCTTTCCCAGTTTTCCTCTCACACAACCCAATTCTCAGGTATTAGATGTGACCTTCCACATATAAGCTTTAAAATCTTGGGTTCAAAATCTACTCCGTTAAAATGCTGTCCCCACTCGCACTGAGTGCACACACTCCTCCGCCTTGCAGAAGAACAGTAGTAGCATCCTGCACAAATCCTACACTGCAACAATACCCACACGAGATGCCAACCTCTTGATGGACTGAGAGTTCTAAAACTTCCACAAAAACAAGCTATTCCTTTTATGCATTCTTGAATATTCAAATTCTCTAGTGCAGGCTGCTCCCGGTCCAAAGCTACCAGTTCCCCTGCAGAGGTCCAATATAATCCATCTGGATGAACCTGTTCATTTCCTCTGTCTATCCAATGATTTACTGGGTTTACAAATTCCCAAGGATCAAGCCTTAACCACTGGGATAAAGGGATCCCTTCAGTTTGTCTAGCCACGGTTAAAACATACACTAATCACCACACTTAAACACAACACACTCTCTTCTGCACTTCCACTTGCTTCGCTTTTCCCAGAAACACGGGTAGAGCTCTGCACTCCTCCCCGTACTGAAGGTACGTCTCACTTGTTCACACAACCAAAACCACAAAGCCACTCACAGTTACAAAGCCACTGACACAACTAAAATATCCAGATGTAACAATCACACAATAGCAGAAAATAGGAGCAATAAAAAGAAAGATACACTTGACCCACCCCCAGGGTCACTACTGGTCACACAATCAATCAGCAAATCTTTTCATCAGCTGCCCTATCGGCTGGCGAATCCCTCCACTGTCGGCCACCCCATTGGCTGGTGGCTGCTTGCAAGCCCCAAACCTTTACTTACCCAGGAACTGAGCTGTGCACCAGATGTCTCTGAGTGGCTTACCAGCAGCCCTTCAGGCCACGTGTATGACTTACAGCCCCCCCTTCCCCCCTTAGATTTGATACATACCGTTTGTCCACAGTCCCAGCAGGCTATTGTCTGTCCCCGCAGTGAGCGAGCTGAGATGCGAAGCTCCTCCAGGGAAGGTCCTGGGGTGCACCTTAGGAGGTCAGCCTCTCCGTCAATGCTGCAGCCAGACAGAGGGCCTCCTGGCTGGCTTGCCAAAAATGATACACGGAAAGACTCCACAAAAGTAGGTATGTATTTATTCGGCCAAGGCGCCTGGGAGATAGCTCCTCCAAAGACACATGCGCCTCCGAGAAACTTAACCCTCTATTTATTCTCTAAAATGTTACATATGCATCAAGTTTCTCAATAGACCCATACATATTCATTTCCTAGCCCCGCTTCATATTATAATTAGCTTATCAGTCCTGCGCTTGAGCAGTGCTCTCTGGTAGTCGTCTGGTGGTTGCAGGAGGAAGGGCAAATGAGTCTTCATCAATGTGAACTTTTCACCTTTCTCTCCCTGAGCATGCCCTCTTGTCTCTTGGTCACAGTTCAAACCACAAAGCTGGTTTAAGCCAGTTTAGGGTCTGAGGAGCCTCTTTTATCTTCAACAGCCTTGCAAGCCTTGCAAGCCTTGCATTCCTTCCACCTTGTTTAGGGTAAGTAGCTCTCCTTATCAGGATATCCTTGCATTCTTTTTGTCCCATCTTCTCAGGCAAAAAAAAAAAAAATCCTGCCTTGCAAGCACAGCAAATGTTAAGCAACATACATCATCTAAAACAGCTATCCTAAATCAATTACCTTTTAATTTCTAACCCCCATGTCTCAGTTCCTTCCAAAAAGTATCTCCAATACTGCCACTTCTCTGATGCATTGGATCCTTTCCTCCATGGTATTCCAGGGCATTCTATGGTAGGGCTCCTGAATTCTGTCTCTGAAGAAACCTCTCTCTTATTAAAAACTGCTCCCAGAGAGGAAGGGGCCCTGGCTCCCTTAAGAACACTCAGATCAATACCCGCATTCTGGGTCAAGGACCCCAAATTCCTTGCTTCACCACTATCTAGTTGCATGCCTGTACCCATAAGGTTCCAAATCCGAAGTAACCAGGCCATGTAAGCCTCGCGTCCCCGTCGCAGAATGTTTTTTCACAGATTAAGGAGACTGTCGTGCAACAGGGACTTGGTGATGATTTCAGGCTCTGGGTCCCCTGCTGGTTATGAGGGCCCTGGTTCCCCATCATCATTAACTGGGTGCACTGATCTCATCTTATACTTCCTCCTCTTCACAGGAGCAACTGCTGCTGGCTGTGGCTGCCCTTGTGTTTCAGCTGGAACCTGGACAGTTGTAATGTCTGTGGGTTCCACTACTGCACCATTAGACTCTTCCTCTTTGAGGCAGGGACAGGGATTCCCACCAGCTGGGGAAGACTATTCCCTCAGCGCCTGGCGTATCTTCTCCTCTATTATCCCCATCCAAGCTGGGTGGTTCATTTCTGAGGTGGGCTGTTTGGCAGGGTCAGACTGTTGGGCAGTGTCAGGCTCAGAAGCAGTGTCAGGCTGTTGGGCAGCATCCCTAGTCTCTGGGGTAGTGTCTTGGGTTGATTATATGATGCTTTTATCCCCAATCGTCTGTTCTGTTTATACTGAATAATAAGTTTTGCACCTTTAAGACTTGTTCCAGAGAGTGAAGGGAGAAGTGCACAGTTGGTTTTCAGACACTGCACTCACTCCTCCACATTCCTCCTCCTGGACTGTGTTGTCTGCGGATGGACAGACAGCAGGACAGAGCTCTCCTTTGTTTTAGTTAGTTTTAGCTAGCTGAGGCAAAGAAGTTCCCTTGACTGTGGTTTTTTTCCCTTTCCTTTGGACCTGTTTAAACCTTCTCTGGACTGAACACCAGAAGAGCACCGGCAGCTCGCACCTGTGGCCCATCGGGCCGGGCCTGGGCTGTGACATTTCCAGCACCAGAGGGACTGATAAGAGACTGAGTGAGCCAAGCTGCAACCCAGGGAGGGGACTTTTCTGATTTTGTCATCTTTTTTGGAGCAGCAAGAGGTTTTATTGTTTAATATTGTTTAGGTTTTATTGTTTAATAAACAGCTTTTTCCACTTTTCTCCAAGGAGAACCGGTTGTGGGAGGGGCCAATTGAATCTGCTTTTCTAGAGGAACCCTTTTGGGGGTTCTCTCCCAAATTTGCCCTGAACCAGGACAGGTAGATATCAGGGTGGTTATCCAAGGCAATCTCATCTTATCTCTGAATGCTAAATAGGCATATCAGCAACACTAGCTGCTGTACAATATCATTAGCATTTAGAGAACATTTGAACCCTTTGGAAGCTGTTGGGGTAGGCCTAAACAAATGGTTGAAGGGTTGGGAGAAGACTTCCCCCTGGGTTACTTCCTCACAATGGTTACCATTATTAATGAAACCCCAAAAACATACATTTAGTGTATGATAGCCATGTATCCATGTGCCCACCTTCCAGAGGAAGTTTAAAATCCATTAATTCCTCACCTTATTGACCCATTGCACAAAGTGGATAACAGCCATAGCAGCCTTTGTCACAGAACCTATGTTTAGATAAGGAGCTGCGAATTGGAAAAATATAGCCACAACCATGTGCCAACCAAAGCAGGGTAGGCTAGACCATGTGGTGTTGCTTAACAAGGTTTCTATATTCAGCACACAAAAACTTAGGTAACTCAGGAACTGTTATTCCTTTTTCACCCTTTCCTCTCAATGCCCTTGTGCCTCACATTGGGTGCCAAAATCTGACTTGGTTTGAAAGACAGGTGTCTGCTAAGGAAGGCGAGAACTTCCCTGGGAATGGAAAATATGACCCCCTTCCCTCTGAATTATTGTAACTAAGAAATTAAGGGGCTTTCAGGCAAAGAGATGGGAAAAGGAATAACAGTTATTTACTAGTATATATAACACGGCAAACAAACAACAATGATGGCAGCAACAGCAAGCAAAAGCAGAACCCCAACAACAGCCTTCTCTCAGCTGTCAAGCCCTTTCCCTGTTGGTGTAGTTATGGTCACAGCCAGCAGGGGCACTGTTAACTTCCGGTGGGTCAGGGCGGGTGCCATGATTCCCCTGCAGCTGCAGGGGGTGCTGTGGTGCAAGCTCAGCCCCCTCTTTCCACATGGTAATGACGGGTACGCTGGAGGGAGAGAGAAGGGGCTTTCCATTGCAAACTCATGGGAAGCAGCTGGTCTCAGTGCCACTCGGGAAATGGAATGGACTGCAGCAGGAAACCTCAGAAGCAGCAAGCTGGAACAGCAGAGGCGGGCACAACTGGGGGTGGCAAACAAAATGTAGCAGAAACTCTGGGGCCCTGCCCGAAGCTGTGGGGTTGTCCGGGTGTTGGGTTACAGTGTAGCAAGAAGCCCTGAAGCAGCAGCAGAGAACAGCGCAGTTGGGAGGGGAATTGCTCTCCTGAATAGCTCACTGGCTATGGCTGGTCCTGGGTTTGGGCTGTGCAGAGGGGGCAGCCCCAGCAGGGTGCAGCACACACTGGGTCTGGACTCCTGAGCAAGTAAGGGGGCAGAGAAGCAAGCCAGTAAGCTCCAGTCACAGAGTCAAAGGAAAAGAATAAAAACAGGCAAAACCAAAAAAGACAACAGTATCTCTAGTCACAGACACTGTGCTGCATAGCCGCAGAGACAATCACTTCACTGGAAAGAAGCAGCCTGTCCTGGGGTGATGTTATGATACTGTATGCCCTATCCTCTGCTTTATGTGCAGACATGGGTCCTGTAACTTTAAGCTCAAAGGAGGGGAAGCCGGGAAAATTCCTCAGTGCGCAGTTTGTGTTCAGTTCTCACAGACTCCCCCAGATTCGTGCAGCTATGTTGTCTAGCACGGACAGAGGGTGTAAATCTTTGCTTTTAGCTATCTTCCTGTTCGTTAGCTGAGGCAAGAAGTTTTTCCTGGGACTGTGGCTTCTTCTGGAACTGTTCAGCTTTGCTCTGGCCCAAAATACCTGAACATTGCCGGGAGCCCCACTCCACAGCCCAGCGGAGGAGGCTTCAGGGACACCACATCCTGGCTCCAGACCTTGGGAGAAGACAAGCAGGAGTAAAAATCAACCATCTTTCTCAACAACGAGAAGGTTTATTATCCAACATGATGAATTTTCTTTTCCATGCCTGCGTGCGCTCTGCTTGTTAAATAAACAGGTTTTTTTCACTTTCCTCCAAGAAATTCCTTTCGAACTTGTGGGGGAGGGGCTGCCGAAACCTACCTTTCTTTAGAGGAGACATCCTTTTCAGGACATTTCCTCTGAATTTGTCTCAAACCAAGACACAGCCTCCCACCCAACTCTCGTAAGAAATCCTGGGCTGGCTCTCACCTATTGTAAACAGGCGATCCCCCGTGGCAGGGAAGAATGATGCATCTGACTCCATTGATATCAGAAGGCTAATTAATTACTTTATTATACTATATTATTCTATAGTATACTACATCTAAACTGAAACTGCACAAGCACTCAACTGAACAAATCTTGTGACTGTGCTGACCAACAGTCTGGACACATGCTTGGCCCTGATAGGCCAAGGAAACAAAACACCATCACTTTGGGTAAACAATCTCCATATTGCATTCTACTTTGGCACAACACAGGAGAAGCAAATGAGATAATAATTGTTTTGATCATTCTTTTCTCTGCTTCTCTCACTGTTTCTCTCAGGTTCAAAGAATGTGAATCCCACACTCACTCATCTCGATACTCTCAGAGCCGAGGGGGGGAAGGGGGGGGGGGAAGGCAACCACTGTGGACACAAAACAAAAACAAAACAAAAATGGATATGGGATAAAACACCATCCCCAAGACATCCATATAGGCTAAGTGAGCTCAGTCTTATAATGCTTTACAAAGCAGGGATGCCTGATGGTTACAATCACTACATTTTGGGCAACCAAGGTGCTGTATAGTATGGGGATAACGCACAGCAGGAAAAATAGCCTAAAGGGAAATATATATATATTTTTTTTTTCCTGGTTCACAACCTGAAACTCTTCTTTTTAGGGAGTCAAACAACTTCCCTTTCTTGCCATCTGTCTCATCATCATTCAGTTTAGGTTGCCAGAAACTGCACATACTGACATACTTCTGTTGTGCCACTTCCTTCCTATCCTCTGTTAAACCCTAGCATACTCTCCTTACACTTTTCCTCCTGCAGTGCAGCTGTCCTTTGTCCTGGGTTCCTCCATTTCAATGAGGGACCTTCCTTTTTCCAGTCTGGAAAAATAATGTAACGCTTAAAATAAGTGCAGAATTGGTTCCAATTTCCTAACCACTCAGGCATTGGTCTCAGAAACTGTGGAGAAAGAACATGAAGAAGGCTTTTGATTCTCTACACATATAGATGGTTTGGGATATTAAATGTTGAGGAATACATTTAGTGCAAGTGATATCTTAAGGGTTAGAAATAGTTAACAATTTGCCCAGAGAGTTACAGAGAATGAGAAGAGGGTTGTGAAACAGGCCTCATAGCTTCAAAGGAGGGACCTTGAACAAAGGACCACCTGGGCTTTTATACCCTTCATGGGTAGTCTGGGGTCTTCCTGCTGAGTCCTGGGCTGCTGCTGTGTCTCTTGTCACCTGGCTGGAGCCACAGATCCCTGTGTCTTTTGTAATGCAAGGGATCGAGCCAGTTTTTGTCTTGGGCTCTGTCCTGGGGTGACTTTATGATGC